TAAATTCTAAATTCAAGAGGTTCTGAAGTGTTTCAAAACTTGCCCTCAAGTTTTGGAATTTGGAAAGGCTTATTTATGAAACATTAAATTCTAAACCCTAGAATTTTTAAAAGTTTAAAATTCAACCCTTATACTATTATAATATTAAAGGATTAATACTTATATATATATATATGTATATATATATGTGTGTGTGTGTGTGTGTGTATAGAGTACCGTTAGTAGGTCTCATTCACGAAGTTGGTCTATAAGGGGGTATAAGGAAACTGCCTATAAAATGGTGATTGAATGGTATCCACTCTGACCCACCGCTTCCTTGATTGGTGGAGGGTCGTTAGTCGAACGGGTAGGATTGGACATTAATTTTCATTAAAAAGTATAATGATAATTATAAAAGTAATTAAATTTTTATAAATTCCCAATCTTAGTTACTTTAGGAAAGTTGTAAAAGTGGTGCTATTCCATGAAATTACACTTTGCACCTTGCCAAGTTGTTAGTGGAGCGTGTATGGTTAACCGACACACTAACTAGGACTAGAAAGGGTGGCAAAGGATATCTTGATGTTTATTATAGATCAATGGGGTGTGTGTGGTTAACCTGCACATTGATTAGGTGATAAATGACATCGAGAGTACCAAACGAATTTGCATGGTTATTCACACCTTGTTTGTGATCCTCGGTATTCCAGTCACAAACTTGAATGGCATACTCGAGATTTAAACATGCCATTGAAATGTTCAATGAATCTCAAAAGAAGCTATGAATTTCAATTCATTTAAAACTTAATCCTTAATTTCATTTTCCATGGTGGAAATTGGTAAATCGTCATTTACCTACCTTTAAATAGTTTGCAATTGGATTACGGCATCCCTCTTCTAAATTGTGAAATATTGCGTTTGGGTCCTAGCCTTAATATTTCATTTGGGTGTTATATTAAGGAATTTATATCTAATAAAAATTGTCTTTTCTTTTCAAATGTCTACCCCAAACGTTGTTGGATCCAGCCCTTCTAGCGCTTTCTCCCTCGTGAACTTATGTGGGAGGGTGATTTTCGATGGGTCGAATTTTAATGTTTGGATTTGAAACACTCGAATGGTCACTCGTAACGAGGATAAGGAATATGTCCACAATAAAGTGCTAAAAGAGGTTGATGAAGCGACTGCTACTCTTGAATAAATTGTTGAATATAAGGCTCATGAGAAGGATAGGACAAAGGTGACGTGCATCATGCTTGCCTTTATGACAACTGAACTCCAAAATTCCTATGAGGACTACTATCCTTTCGAGATGCACCAAGACTTGATGGAAAGGTACCATCAAAGTGCTCGACAGGAAATATATGAAATCATTTCGTCCATGATAACAACAAAAATGAAGAATGGAGAGTCCATCACGACCAACTTACAAAAAATGCAAAGGTTAGTGGACCGCTTGCTAAAGTTGAATGTCAACTTTGATGAAGAGTTTGCTCTTGACATTATCCTACACTCTTTTCCTCCTTGTTATGATCAGTTTAGAATGACTTATCATATGAACAAGGAGGAAGTAACTCTAAGCGAGCTTCAAGGCCTACTGAAAACTGCTAAAAGTAGTTTAAAGGGCAAGTCTGTTGTACCCACTCCTACTGTTATTGACCCTATCCTGGCAGTTGGACAATGAAAAGGGAAGAGGAGGAAGGCTCCTTCTGAGAGCCACAAGGGAAAGTCCCATGACAAATCCACTTCTAGTGGGACCAAAGGTGGTTCTGCTACCCCCCCCCCCCCTTCTAATCCAAAAGAAGTAGAGTGTTTCTACTGTCATTAAAAAAGGTCATTAGAAATGAAGTTGCTCCAAATACTTGTATGACATCAAGGATGGGAAGATAAATCCCACATTCGCGGGTATTTATACTATTATGTCTAATAACTCATCACATGCTAATTCTTGGATCTTGGATACAGGATGCGTTTTCACATTTGTTCTGATTTACAGGGTCTAAAAAGAAGCAGGGATGTAAAGCACGGGAAGATGAACTTGATAATGGGGATTAGGAAAGCATCACCTGTCACCAATATTGGAGTCTATTCTTTATTGCTTAGTAGTAGGTTAGAATTAGATTTGAATAATTGTTGCTACTCGACAGATATGGCGAGAAACAT